CACCCCAAAACCCCAAAACCCCAAAACCCCTCAGCCTAAAGCTAATAGTGAAATATAATATTTTATCTTTGACCAAGAAAACTAACTTAGCATGTCTTGAAAGAGAGTACGTGTCTTCTCACCAGAAGAAGTCAGAGAAATTCTGAACTGAAATGAGACTAATCTAGACGAAAAGAATCTCCCAACTTTTGATTATCCTCCTGCTGATTATGAAATCATGCCTGAGGAAGATAAAGGGTGGACTGCCATTGCTAAATCTGTCTTTGTCCCAACTAGCAGGTACTGGAAAGTCCTTCAGAGGATCACGAAACATAACCCTGAAAACTATCTTACCCATCCACGTTCAAAGAAGTCAAATAAAAGCAGCAGAAGTCGGAAATAATCACTCCAAGCTGAGAAACCACCAAAGGTATGAAGCTCTGGAGACTCTTTGTTATTAAAATTACCCAAGAGCCGGTCTCATTTATTGTATAGAAGAAGTAGAAGAGGTATGGCCAAGGTCCTCTCAAATCAATCTCTCAACCTGAAACTCCTAGAGACTAATGTACGCATTCCTAATTTTCTGCCAATTACGAGTTATTTAGTAAAATAACACAAATATAAGTTAGTAAAGCAAAAATAGTGTTTCCTTCCCTTATTGGGACAATTACACAACTTGGTGAGGCTACTATATTGATAAATATTCATACAAGCATTCTTGGGGTCTCTTGGTAATGAAGCAATGTTTATAGACGAACAAGACAGATGGGAAAACTTCGTCTAACAATTTGAGTTCCTTTGCTAAGTCTCAAAAACAGCCATTAGAGCCAATCAATTCTAGGTAATTTCTAAATTCCTTTTGAATTTATGGGCTTGCAAGTCTAGTAAAGTTAACTTCTAGACGGTTGGTAACACATTCTAAAAGAAAGAGAGTCCATCACAAGTTGAAAAGGCCAACTTTAACAGTGTCCAAACTAAACAGTTCTAGCTTCAAACAAAGATTCACAGTTCAAAGAACCCCTAAGGCTAAGTTTAGGTTTTCACTCAAGAAATAATGCTGCTGATAAGATCCAGGAATTCTCTGGAATAAATGACAGCCAGAAAAGAATTAAAGCTACCAAACAAAAAATTCTAGATAAACAGTAAGCCTTAATGGTGTGGTTAGAATTTACTCAGTTTATATGCATTCTGGAACTTTCTAAAGAGAAGACATATCTGATTCTCATCATTGTGATTTTCATAGACCACCTTTAAATATTCGGTATATGAAGTATAGACATCTTCAATCGACTAGTAGCTTACATTAATCATAACCAAATTTACCTGCAGCTATATTTAAACCAAGAGGAGAAGCTTAGAGATTTCAAGAGCCTAATTTGTAAATTTTGTTGCTGATTCTTAGTGTAACCTCTTTACAGCACCTAGGACACCTTCAAAATTCTCATCAGACATCAGTCCTCAAGCTATCTATGATCTGACCTTACCTCCCATTGACGCTTCTGCTGGCCACTTTAGAGCCAAATTTACTCCCCAAAAGGCCAAGAAATCATCATTTTTCAACGATAATTCATCAGTAAGCGAAGGAGAGGACTATTTCAGAGCCAAACAAAGCACTTTTTCCCAAAAGTACAACATCAAAGAGTGGTATGCACAACTTTGTTCTCGAAACAAACACATAATATGCCAAAAAAAGGCCTGAATGGAGTACACATTCACCTCTTACTTCCCAAATATTGCTGCTAGAGGCCGCCACCAAACCAAAGTTGGGATGAAATCCCCTGAAATCAGTAAAGTTGTTCACTCACTTCTAGGATCTAGAGGGAATCTGATGGAGAAAGGTATCAAAAGAAGATATCTGAAAGGCACTCCCAGCAAAAGCTGTGCTTCTATTCGCCAGCTTCTTAAAGACAAGCATACTCTGCTTTAGCTGACCAGAGAAGTATCACAATAAAATTCTAAATATTTACAAAAAATTTTTTATAAATATAACTTTCTCAAAGATTTCACATATCCAAACCAGCTTAATGGGGATCATTCATTAGGCAGGCACAACCTCCAATTCTCATGAATAATTTAACTTCAAAATCAATCCTTTTTGTACAAATTTAAAGGCTGATTCTTCATAAATACACCTGATAATCTACAAACCCATACTATAATCTTGCTAATCAAAGAGATTTGTACCTTCACGAAGATTGTTCATTTCTACCGTTGGGTTAGAAATAGGGGTTTTGGGGTTTTGGGGTTTTGGGG